AGTCGATAATGAAATTAACAATTCAGTGACACTGACTTGAAATCCAACTATTTTTGTATTTTTCGAAGTTGCTAAAAAAACTATTCTTACTTGATGAATTAAACTTCTGTTACTTACCAAAGTAAGTAACAGAAGTTTATTGTTTTTTATTATTGGCATATAGAAGGGCTCAAGTTAAATGCTCCCACTACACTACCACATACCAGTCCCACTATAAAAAAATCGCTCGCCCAAATCTTTAAAAATTCTTGTGAAAAGACCCTGAGGGTATGAAAGTAATCTGATCAGTGTATTTTTGGACGCTGATTCAAATCACCCCCCATAAAGTAGGATAAAAATGCTTCCCTGGAGAGTTATGGGCAAAAAACTTTGGTCACATGACGGGCTAGTGATACAATATTCTTTTTTGTTCTATTTTTAGGACATCAGAAAAAATGTAGGTGGGCATCAAAGAAATTAGCGACAGTGACAGTCATATGAGAGATAGAGGGTTGTCCCCCTTTCCCGCTTCCTACAATTACACTCACGAGCAGCCACATAAATTGATGGACGATTTGCACCCTTAACGGGTGATACTCGTCAAACATTTGTCCAAGACCGTCGACGAGTCCAACTCGGCGCGCGTCTTGGTAGGTTACAAACCTACAATTTGCACCCCAGAGAGCTTGTGTTATGGTACTAGTACTACTTCGAGATGGAGCAAGCACGATAGTATATTTCTGGGAAACTCTGTATATATATATACAAACGATAACCCACTATATTGTATATATATTAATAGTTTGATACTTATAGAGGTAAAACTAAATATAGCTCCTACCTTACAACTCGACGACAATAGTAAATAGCCCAGTATCTGAACGAATTGTCATCGACAACAAGAGCTGAGTAGTATGTGAGTGAATTGTGCAACATATCATTTGTGCAACAGATTGTGCAACATTTTATGGAGATATTTGCAATACTGCAATAGTATAACGTGCCGAACTAGAGTGCGTATCAAACTAAGGTACGTGTACCGTTTTAGTTATCCACTATAACAGAAGTTTATAAAGAGTTAAAAGGGCCGGGGGGTTATGTTGCAGTTTAGTCAATACAATTAAACATGATGATCATTATATATAAGTTGGTTATAAACTTAACAACCTCGATTGTCCAGACCAAATATCACAGCTTTGACACACTGTCACTAGTACTACTAAGCTAGTAGTAGTAGTGATATTATAGTAGTAGTACACAAAATCTTACATCACGTGGCCTTTTTAGTCCCTCGCCTGTTAAATGTCGCAATGGCAACAGAACTAGAAGATTATTGCATAAAAGCATGTCATAAATCTGGGCAAAATTCTGATCGCAAAAAACAATTAAGATCAAAAGACTATATAATAATAATTAATTATTAGTAAAGAAATTAGACGGAGCTGGTGTGGTAAATTAAGCTTATCGCTATAAGCATAACTATAAATATAATTTGTTATCATATCGTCATATCGCGATCGTGTGTTATGAACATCAAAATGAAAGTTGGTCAAGGCGTAAAATAAAATATCAATATCGCATATCAATAATCTGACCATCAGCTTATAGATATAGAAATGTTATTTTAATCAGGGCTATTTTTACCTGGGGACCCCAGGCTATAGCTATTAATATTATATTTATGTTCACAGTTCATAATCATTGTATCACGTTGCGACCCCCACGGTCGTTTCACTATGGTGAAACGTCCTGACGATACAGGGGGAGCCGCGCACTTCGTGCGCGGCGGGTCATACAACGTATGACAACATAATCATATGTCATAGAAATTAGGCGGAATGACATGTGACAGGCTGAGCGCCGCCCATGCAGTAATTGGTTATTTTCCTTAGTCAAACATATTTGTCATACGTTGTAAAGTATGACCCGCCGCGCACGATCGAGTGCGCGGCTCCCCCTGTATAGTATCGTAGAAACTCTACAGTGAAACGATAATAACACAATGGAATAAAAATCTAATAATAATAATAATAATAACAAAGTATTTATATCCCGCTCATATTAGCAACTAGTAACCAAAAATGGTACTAGCTACTAATGTCAGAGCGGCTGTCCAAAACAAAGATAAAACTTTAATGATTTAGAATTCTCAAACAAAAAATTCTCAATTTCCTTTAAACTGCTTATTAGTAACACTAACGTCTAAAAACTATATTATACGACAGACATCTAACATAAAATTAATTAAATTGTACTGAAGCATTTAATTTACCTGCACCTAGGGGGATCTTGTATCACGTGGTGACCCCCACGGTCGTTTCACTAATGTATCGTCTTCGACGATACAGGGGCGCCGCGCACTTCGTGCGGCACTTCGCGCGGCGGGTCATACAACGTATGACAACGTTTTGGTAGGTTATATTTACAATTTATAAACGTGCCTACAACGTAATAGGTTTTATTCGAAATCAGCGTAAAAATACATTGATACAGTTTACTTTCACAATCTCATAGCTTAATTTACGATGTCAATTCATAGCAGCTCGGCGCGGCACAGTAGCGCATTTCGCCGATCTAGCTGTGAGAAGCCTCATTGAGTGCGCGGCACGGCACAGTAACGCATCGCGCTACAATCTCATAGCTTACTCATATAATAATTAAAAAGTATACATGTATACTTGACCATTGTTAATGGTTTGGCCCGGCGCGCGCTACTTCGTAGCACTTTCCATCAAGAAGAAAGCGGCGCGCGCTACTTCGAAGAAATTTAGACGAGTAACATCCGTCAAATGTATACAGAACGGTCAAAATCTAATCGCGACCATGGTGGAACAAAATAGCAACGTGTGTCAAGTCGAAATCTAATCTCGACCTCATAAACTATGCATAAACATTTATTTAACTTTAGTGTTTGGAATTTTTGGCTGAATATTTAACAAATGAAAATGGTATAGTAAATAAAATAGGCTATAACATATAAATAAAAAATGAATCTGATTATTATTGTTTCTCAATTTTTGTAAGACATGGTTTAAAATTTAAGCGTATATGTTGTATGTCCGCTAAGATCTTAAAAATATATGTAATGTATTAGTGTTCATAGTTGATAGTGTTTTACAGTTTTATTTCAGCATCATACCACTAGTCTTGAGTGATTTTTGATCTTAACTACTGCGACCCTTTATACGTTTCCCATTTTATTGGCATTTTATTGTTAAGTGAAATATTGTTTCATATTTCTCATTTCTACCTTAAAATACAGTCACTGTAGTTTCAAATTCCGCACACTTATAAAACAATGTGCTTTTTTTTGCTGAGCTTAGATCTTAAGTTTACCATCATGTTTAAAATCAAAGGTAGCGATGGTCTGTTCTGTCTAACATACATAAACATTGCTCCCTTATCTAGATAATTGTGCACTCCCACATGGGACTTCTGAACTTTTGTGTGCTTGGATTTTGAAGCTGTGAGTATAGCTGTATAGTGAGGTCAGTTTTACACTGTTTCTCGGCCGTTGTAGCTCCATTGTCTATCAAAGTCTTTTAGACAAGTCTTCTTGAATCCTCAGCATTTTTTTCTTTCGAAATGGCGATTCATAGGAGTACATTTGATTTGTTAAAAGTCTGTGCTGCGCTTCATCCATGCCTAAGTTAGACACTGCCTGTTCGTTCATTTCATGACTTTTGCTTGTTGGCAACATTTTGTTTGTGGATGCGATGTAGTGAGATATGTTTATCATCTAAGAGGGGATAACGGCTTCCCTGGGATCTAACACATTCTGAAGCAGCCCAACACTATGTCCCAACACACTGGTGTCGGGACATGTCTGTTTAGATCTGTTTCTGGTGAAAGACCGAAACAGATCTAAAGAGACAATTAGCAGAATCGGAAAAATAGACTTGAATTTGTAGATATAATTTATGACGGGTGGCTCAGTTGGTAAATCGGCCTGGCATTTCTCGAGGTACCAGGTTCGAATTTCGACTCTGTCACTAGCCGTGGGGTGAGCTTCATCGACGCTCAGCTAAGGATCCTGAGTGGTCTATGCAGCCCCCGGTCCACTCAGCCGAATACCTGAGAAATCGGGTGTGACGGTTAAATGAGGAGCTGCCTATTGAGCTATTGCATCAAAGTCTCGGGCGAAGAAAGTATGGTACACACTACCTTAACCGTCACTGGCCTAATGTAATTGGCTGGTTGGAATGTCTGAGGTAAAATAAGTGTTAAGATAAAGCGTATGTTATTGCCCACTTAAAGGGGCCTGTTAATGATTAGTTAAATTATTAGTTTTTTTAGATTAAATAATAATCTTGGAAGCAACCGCTGGTTATAAACCATAAACGGCAAGGCTTTGCATTTACCCAAATTGCAGTGCACGCCGCCCGCACAGCAGGGTCAGCAGGGCCCTTCATTAGGCCACTGCCTCCCTTGCTAAAATTTTTGGTGCCCTCCTAATTTTACTGTGATGTTTTTGCTGTTGGACTCCTTTTTTGGTACCTTTTTGATGTTGCTGTTACCAAACAATGTTTGAACCACTAAATATTTTATTGCATCAAAATTTCTGCTAGATATGTAGTGAGCACTTTTTTCCACGTTTCATGTCACCCTGATCATTATGAGCCGAAAATATTTTATTCATGTTTTCATGTTTTCTATCCCGATTTCAAAGTCCCAACCTCACCCTCGATATATGATCTTGGAGTCGAGGCTCCCCTTTGTAATTTGATCTCAGAGGGCAGGCCTCCCCTATGCTTTGCAATACGAGTTCGGAAGCGGGGAGACTGCCTTTCCATGTACATATTGAGAATGCAGAATGACTCTGGCCAAAAACTTTTTGAGTCAAAAATTTTCCTGGAAACTACTTTTCTCCATAGTGCATGTCACCCTGATCATTATTAGCTGAAAACATTTTTCAGGACCTAGCCCTCGAGAATTTTTCCTGGAAATTAATGAAATTTCTGATTGATATTTTAGCTTCAATAATCAGCTTAATGAATTATTTGAACACTCCCCACAGTAGTTAAATGAAATGAACAGTCAGATTAAAGCCCCATGTTGCCCGTTTATCAGTTCCACATTCAGAGATTTCCAGGAAGAACGGGACTACCTTGTCAAACATATATTCCCTGAATTACAACAGATTTGCAAAGACAAATGTAAGTAGGACTGTTATCTTTATTACGGAATATTAAATGAGCTAAGTTTAACCTTCACTTTTTATTTTCAATTTATGCTTTGTCCTTAACAATATCCGAAACAAATTGCAAATGTCTTAGTTGTTAATTGTTTTGATTCAGAATTAACATTTATCATCAAATCGTTTTTCATCAATATTCAGTATGTTACGGATAATTTCCTTTCAGGTACATATTTTGCACCAATAGATTTACGATGGGGTATTAATAAAAATCAGTCACAAGAGGGCAGGGTGATATCTCTCTGCCTGGACTATATTCATGATGGTGCTCCTTATTTTATTTGTTTATTGGGTAAGCATTTTTATATTTTATTTCCAAATTCTGTTTTTCACGGAATTTGTGACATGTTGAATTACTTTTGTGCCTAAGTCAATTTCTCAAAGTCAAACGCCCATCTTCTATTCATAATTCTGGATATCTTTTTAAATTTAAATTAATTATCTATTAATGATTATAATTGAATTTGACTTGCTTCCTTAATATAACAATTGAATGTTCAGGGGACAGATACGGATATCACTATGATGAAGAGAGTTGCGATCCAGCCAGTAAAGAATGGTTCAATAAAAATCTCTTCGTTGCATCCAAAGAGGTGAGTTGCATATTTCCCACGAAATCACAACGTTTTTGAGAGCGATGGCTATTGCTTTGATACAATGCAATTTAAAATCACTATCATTGTGTTTTGTATAGGAGTTTAGTTGTATAATAACCTGCATTTACGTATCGTAATAAACAATCGATACTTTTAGACAATCCATGCGTGCGACAAAGACTGATGCGAGGTTCAATAGAAATTCAACTTTATGACGTAGTTTAAACAATTCATCAAATTAAAAGATGTGACGTTTACATTCCTCATAAATGCGCACAAGCTAACGTCATTACTTTTTGTTTCGTTCAGAAATGAGCCTCGGCTAGAGCTGTATTGTTTTCCCTTTCTATGGTTGCTAACCTTTATGTCAAAGACTGTTGATAGAGCTACAAAAATATGTCGTTTGATAAAAAGAGGATTTTAAGTCTATTTTTAGTGACAGCAGCCACAGAAATGCTGGTTTCTTATACAATGCAAGGATATAGCTGAATAAATGTTATACATAAAACGTTAATGTATGATAAGAATTTAAAATTTATGTTACCGTATTACAAGTAACAATATTATATGGGGATGTGGGAATATGGAAACATTATTACAAAAAAACACCAGAAATCTGAACTCTCTACATTCTTCACTGTCTTGATGGATAAATTACCATCAAGTTGTGATCTTGCTAAGTGATACTCACATTTACAACTGAACGATTAGATCCACTCTTGAAATACAAATAGTTTAAGTTCTTAACATTCCATGATGTCACAACCCAGGTAGACATTTAGGGTCTAAATCTACCGGCAGACCCTCAAGAGGCGTGTTCTCATAATACTTAACAATATGTACGGTTATTAATTAGACAGCCATATCCTGAATCGTATTGTCACTTTCAGCCTGCTGCTGGCGTCACAAAATTTTATTGTTTCCAGTGACGTAACTTTTATAGGAAGATCAGAGGCGGTTTACGTTCGAGGGTGCGGCTTGTTGTAAGTTCATCGGGAAAATTTGTTTTTCACGGCTGGAATGAAAGGTGAATATAGCTCGGTGGCCGACAGAATGGACGGCTAGTAATTTGAAATTATTACTTGATATCGGCTTATATATGTGTGAAGCCTTAAAAAGTACATACCATAAATTTAACTAAAGGTATTCTAAAATTCCACGAATCTTCACTGGCTTGGAAAAAAGAGGAGTTTTAAATATCTTGTACGACTTCGATGAGAGTTGATTTTTTCAGCTCCTCGCTCCTTAGGGTGATATATGATTTTTTAAAACCACTCAGCCGGCCGTTCATTTGAATCTCCTTTTTACACTGAAGCCCCTCTCAGGCCCTATGCAAAGTGCAAACATTATTAACAAATAATCATGATCTGTGTAGCTGTGCAGCTCTGCAATGTGCATTACCATTGTCCGACTCAGATCATTATTTCTCAGAGCTAAGGCGTGGTTTTTCGTTAGCCTTCTATTTTGTTGAGAGAAGGAAGGTAGCAAGACGTGAACGCAGGGCTATTATAGCTCATATCTCAAACGTGTCATGTGTGTGTCTGTGTACTGCTGTGTCCGGAATTTAAGTCCTGTTTTTCAACCTGGGCGTGGTTTTCCTCATAGAAAATTTACTGGAAGTAAACTTGTGCGTTGAAAAATATCACATTACATATATCAATATGGAGATCTACACGAGGGTTGACGTCAGTTCAGTGCAATAAGTTATTTACAGAATAAGACAGGTTTGAGCTGACATGTTCCAGGGTAAATATGATACTGAGTTTTTACTAAAAAATAACTTAAACCACGTACTTTTTAAATTTAATGAAATATTGTGCTGCAGCAGTACAAGTAAACTCTATTGAATTCTACAGAATTTCTATTAATTACAGCTAACTTGTATGATGTGGATAATGGATATCAGCAGTAAATGAACTTGATAGTAATAATAACATTTATTATATAATATAGTTGGCGAGCCTTTGACATATCTCTCTTTATGTCGGTCGGTCAAGGGCACTGCAGCCGCCTGACCAATGTTGTAAATTTGTCTATCATAATATGTATTAACCGTCCTTTATATCGAATTTTCTTTAAATTGTAAGATCGCCCTTCGTTTTGAGTTGTTCGGAATTTGGACACTGTGATATATTTATGAATTGGGTAACCTCTTTGGATAATTTTTTTAGTTTTGAAAAAGTATTCGTTACAAATTTTCCTATGGAAACTTAGTTGCCGGTAATAAAATATTATATAGCGAAATGAGCTTAATTTAAAAATGAAGTATTCAAGTCAAATGAAAACGTGACCTTTGACAAAATAAGGTAGTATAAAGGTGTTCTGAACCTGGTCGAACATCATCTGTAGATCAAGGCTATAGTTATACCACATTGTATTGAAATATGAAAGTTGCGTACGCTGATTTAAAATAAATTCCTAAAGGCAATCTTAAGTGCAACCAGCACCTCCCAAATATCCAATATCCAGGTCATAATAAATAATCCACATTACTCGATGATGACCTCTGACGACTGACATAGCAACAGTTTTGTGTTCGAGAAGATACGTGCACAGTGTAGACGTATCTTCTCGAACATTGCTTCTTTTTATGATCTTCTAAATATTGATATTTCGTCACGAGCAATTAACACTGCGAGTAAAACCAATAAGTCAGATACAACAGATTTAATTATTAATTAATAACAGATTTAATTATTCACTGAATTACACATTATATCCCTCCTTCCAGCTAATTAACCGTGTAATTTCGTCATCAAATTTGTAATTGCTTCCCACCGCTGGTTTACCAATTACCATTGCAACTGCTGACCATGACTAGTGTTTACCTGGCGCGGCGCGTGAACATTACAAATTGGGCTTGTTACTTAATGATAATATGAGGGAAGGTAGACAGTGAGACTGGGGTGGTCTAAAATCACACATTGTCACATTTTGTCCACCCTAAAGTCACCACCCTCAGGTGAATATGTGACAATTTCTGACACGTGACGTCACGTGACCAGCTTCACGGTTACTAATAGCACGTGAGATGACTGTGAATATTGTTAGGGTTAATTCGGTTATATAATAGAATTGTAGAAATGGAAAGCAAAAGTTGCAGACGAATATGCCCAGATTTGCCTCTCTCTGTTGTTTGACGCAATTATGTTGACCTAATTATGAATCTAACGAGTAAAAGTGTATCTCCTTCAGACTGACAAATTATGTGGCGAAACTTTTCAAGCCAGGACGGAAAATAAACCGGATTTATGCATCCATGTACAGTTGATGGCTGATGTCCAATACTGTAATTGAATTGTGTACAGTTAGGAGAATGCATCTGACATTTACTGCCTCCAAATTTTACACGCTTAAATGGCTGAAAATATATGAAAATGCGGCACCGAATATATAATTTTGCAGTAAATTCTACATTCTAATTAAGAGGAACATTCAAGAGAATTATGTTAGGATCATTGGCGACAAATGATTGGAGCCAAGGCAGTAAAAATCAGCTCAACATAATTACATACAGCCGACTTGTGGCCATTAGAAATGAGGTGCAGGCGCACGGCTAACTGAAACTGGACACTGGGTCAGGAGATAAGACTGTTTTCAAATTGTCCGGCCTGGCTGTCTGCTGTCTCTCACTTCCTGGAAACTTCCCAGTGCTACTCCACACTTCTTCACCCCTCATTATACACTAGATCTGACCCAAATCCAATGGGGTTCATACTATGGTCCCCTGATTACTGATAATGGTTGCGCCTTGTGCCCCTATCTGGGTGTGGTACTTTACTGACTTGTCTTGTGTAGGGGTGCACTAAATGTTATGTTCCCTCCCCCACCCCCTGTCCCTTACTAACCTCCCACTAAATGTTATGTTCCCTCCCCCACCCCCTGTCCCTTACTAACCTCCCACTAAATGTTATGTTCCCTCCCCCACCCCCTGTCCCTTACTAACCTCCCACTAAATGTTATGTTCCCTCCCCCACCACCTGTCCCTTACTAACCTCCCACTAAATGTTATGTTCCCTCCCCCACCCCCTGTCCCTTACTAACCTCCCACTAAATGTTATGTTCCCTCCCCCGCCCACCCCCTGTCCCTTACTAACCTCCCACTAAATGTTATGTTCCCTCCCCCACCCCCTGTCCCTTACTAACCTCCCACTAAATGTTATGTTCCCTCCCCCACCCCCTGTCCCTTACTAACCTCCCACTAAATGTTATGTTCCCTCCCCCACCCCCTGTCCCTTACTAACCTCCCACTAAATGTTATGTTCCCTCCCCCACCCCCTGTCCCTTACTAACCTCCCCCACCCCCTGTCCCTTACTAACCTCCCCCACCCCCTGTCCCTTACTAACCTCCCACACAAGCTGCTCCTTGACAACCCTCTTATCAGCTCATGGTTCGGGTCCCACGATCACACACTACTCCAATACTCTAGAATAATCTAAAATACTCCCACAAATACTAAAAATACTGCTAAAATCTCCAGCCACTAACCACATCACCTCCCTCAGGGTCACCCCTGGGTAACTGAGCACAAAGATAAGAGCATAACAGAGATGGAGATAATCGCCGCTCTCAAGTACGCCAATTGTACGCGAGCTTTTTTCTACTTCCGAGACACTAACTACATCAACAAGAAGTTCCCTGATGGCCCCACTGAGGTTCGTTTTTTTTGTTTTAAAAAAAATTAAAAACTGAGGTTCGTTTTACCAACACTTTGGCCTCTGTAAACTTTATTTTTAAACATTAGTCTTTCTACCAAGTCTCTGTAAACTCTATTTGTAAATTTTAGTTTTCTTTCACTAAATGTTGTTAATTTCATTCAATTATTTTGAAGTGTTTTATTAATGCTGCAGTTTTTGATTAGTGATGTTGTTTTTGTTCTTATGATTTGTTGGTGGGTGTATCTTTATTTATTAGTGCAGTGTGGAATAATATATCAATAAACCTTCCTATGATTCCTATATGATACTTTTGAAGTGTTTTCTGGCGGTTTCTTGTTAATCGTAGTGTTTTATATATACGTATATATATCAATAAATATATCAATATATCAATAAATCTTCCTATGATTACTATATAGTTATAATTAAAGTTTTTATTTTTTTTGAATAGATTTGTTTTTGAGATGAGTTAGTTGTTTGTTGCTGGATATTTTCACCTCACCCTTTAGAACCGCTCTGACATGGTTAGTACCTGACACTTGTGTCAGTCGCTAACCATATGGGCGGTATACAAGCACACTATTTCATTTCATTTAAAGCTTACTCTGGATATATAAATGTAGAGTTTAACAAGAGTACGCTAAACCTTGTTTTCGTATAAACAGCACACTAAAGATTACAATATTAGATTTCATTTCTAATTCCATAGCACAGAAATGCATTTATACTCAAGCCCGAAATAAAACATTCCGCTATCTACACAGTACATAACATAAGACTTGAATTATTTTTAGACATAGTCTTGAGACTTAATGATACGATGAGACGGCCTTTAGTCCTGGATATCCCCAAAAATTGGTCTTCCAAGGTCATTATAACAAAATCTAGCTTCCTTTCTATAATAATGGCCGGTATACTAGAATAATAAGGCTGCTAGACTGGCTCTACTATTCATATCCAGTTATTCATTACACCGACCTGACGAGAGCTACTGCGAGCTGCTGAGATGCTGAGAAACACGAACGGGTAGATCTCCGTAAAATGCTGTGTCCGTGTACCTCCCTCTATACTGCCTGTAAAATGCTGTGTCAGGATCCACGTTAGAGTCCGGCTGGCTCCACAGTTGTTCATCTACATAATATCTCTGTGTAACCATAATCTAAATTACGATGATTATTCAAATTTCAATAGCTGAATTTTGCAATTCACCATTGCCAATTTGCCTGCATAATTTAACTTTTACTGAATTAGCTTATGCTATCCTTAAGCCAGCACTTGGACAACCCTACAAGTTCCGTTTTCATAATAATATGTTGACAAGTGTTGAGCAGCCAGTTGACGGTAAGTCAGGCCAGTGTCACGCCGTCATGACAACACCGCCTAGTTACCAGTAGCGACACCAGGAAGTAGATGTCCGTGTACCTCCCTCTATACTGCCTGTATAACTCGCCCAGTACTTACTAACCTAGTTTTACAGGACCACCTCACAGACTGCTCATACCCATATAAGGGCATACATTTTCATGTTCTCATGAAAAGGGTGTTTGCCCTAATAATGCCGTGTTTTCCTGGGCAAGTGTGATTTGATACCACTTGTTTCTTGTAATTAACAGGGTTTGCCTGATCATGCTCCGTGGTTTAATGTGATGACCTAACACGGAAACTGTTTCTCCCTGGCACTTCCAAGATCGGGCCCGGGACAGTATGTACTTCCTAGTAGCGGGACCCATGTAATCCTAGCCGATCAATATTATTCTCTGTGATATGTTACTATTTTTAGAGGTTTGCAGATTGCACAGAGAGGGCTCTCACAGGAACACAAAATTGTTCAGATTATTGACATAAATTGTCCAACTGGTTTATATCGAATTAACTCGTACTTCAATCCAATTGGATCTTAATAAGAGTCTGTAGTCGATTATCGATATATCGATTAATCACATTATTGAACCCCCACTCCCTTGTAGTCCAAATGTGAAATCGGATTATAATGATAAGGGTAGTCAGAGGCTGAAGACCATGGGTCGTGTATTTTATCCAATATATTCAGAAGTTTAGAAGTATTTCCCTTTCTTCCCCTGCCACTGCCACTGCTGCTAATATAAAATAACTTAATTACACATATTATAAAAAAACTTAAATACACATATTATAACCATCGGTTATTAGATTATAATCCAATCACTTGAAAAACCCCCTGTCATTTATCTTTTATTGTTTACCTCAGGAACAACGACGGATTTACGGCACAGAAAATGAGAAATGTGCCCGAAAACTGAAACACTTGAAAGACCAGATAACCGCGTCAGAGCGGGTCGCCAACTTTGCATCCCCAAAAGAGTTGGGAGATCTTATCTTACAAGACATGAAGGCAGCTATCGAGGAGGATTATCGAGGTAGGGAATCTGCAAATTCTTTATTTACTTGGTTAAGAAAATTTTAGTAAAAGAGCTGAAACCAAGAACTTTCAAAGTATTTCAAGAATATTTTAGAATGTTCATTTTTTAAACATTTGCACGTACTGAACATGGCAGTGTGCAGTACTGCGAAGTATGTGCCACATATTTCCTAATACTAGGAAAATCATATCAATTAAATCACGAGGCTTTTCACCGACTAATTCTTGGAATTTTTCTACTTCACTGTTTACCTTCAAAATCAGGATATATAAAATGGCGGTATGATAATTTTCAACGATAATTTTTAATCACCTATTTTTAAGTTACAATACTGTACTGTGTTCACGGTTCACCTATAAACTGCCTCCCTGCCCGTAGCTAATGAAGCATAACAAAATAAGATCCTTTTAGGATACCGCTGCCGTACTCCACATATATATTATATCAAGTTTGATTCCAACAACTCTCATGTTGAATGCCAAAGAATTTGATACCCAAATATTTTAAGAAGGACGGAAATAAAATTCCCGATAAACAATGTAAAGAATGTTTGAGTTTTAGCTGTGGTCCCTCCCCGGGAAAGTGTATATACAAAGTACACATTGTACTGTTCCTACAGAATGTTGCACACACACCTAGCTGTAGTACATGCTGTAGTGCGTTCCTAGCTGTTTATTTGTTTTGAAAGTGCCTGGCTTACACGTTGAAAGTACACACCTATATATCTAGATTAAAACGGTCTTCTCTGCCAAAATTGACGAGTTATGAGTTTATAAATAGCGTTTTGTACGGACCTTCAAAGAGGGCAGTTAATTGTGAACCAGATGTGACGAGGTCTATGTACCATATTATTCAGGACCATTCATTAATAAGTATGAATAAACTCACATGTAATGGAGTTTTGTTATGGATCAGTGTTCAAGAGACCTGCAATTCTAACCAAACCACCACGTGACCGAGTTTTAGAATGTTGATCAGTAAACTGACATGTTATTTGCAGCACCTGCTAAAAATAGCTCTGGTACAGTTTACTAAACCACATTTAGGAGACTATTTTAAGTATAATCTAATTGTGGAATTCGGTAATTGGAGACCTCCGTCACATACTGAGCCATGAAATTAGTATAGATTGAAAGACAGACACATTTACCGCACCAGTCAAGTTTGCAACACGCACCAAAAGGGTAACTGAGGGCCCGAGGGGTGAGGGGTTGGATCAAACCTGGAGGGTGATCTAATGTACTGATTGTTCTGGATCAGCGTCACTGGGGTCTGGGGCCGGGGTCGGGTGTTGTCTCTCTTTGTCATCTAGGGGCCCTTTATGACTACTTCTTCTACTCCCCAAACCGGTATAATAACCGGTCTGGTCTCACAGAAGGAAGTAATGAAATAAAATAAAATGAAATACAGATAAGGAATACGGCCGACGGAGTACATTGTAACTACATTCCACATATTCCTGTAGTACGTGATTGTACTGTGCACTGTTGTGTACATAGTCTAATTGAACTACATCTGCGTTCTGAAATTTGATGGCTACAAATGATTAAGATGAGATGTTCGTTTAAATTTCATGATCAGCTTTTTTGAAACATGCTCTGCTGAAAGACATGCTCTGTCAGTAGAAAATGAAGTGCATTCCACTATGTTACCTGATGAAAGTACGTGCTCCATGGTTATCTTAGTTCCAAAAATTAGTGTGCCAAAAATTTGGGTGGGAGATTTGGACTTGATTATTTGCCATTTATCTAATTTGCCATATTAATTTAATTTATTTGCCATTAATTCGAATGCGAAAAATTTGGGCGAGAGGGCCAACCAAATCTTTGGTCGCTCTGAGTCTACCAACGTCCAACATGTGCAGTTTTGTGGGTCTACCAATATCTTCTGTAGTTTTATAAATTTACCAACAGTCTTTCTGCTGTTAAAAATTCGTCTTTGACTTAGTTAGTTGACTAAGTTATAACATGACTTGGGGTACAAAAATAGCCACAAAATTGTCAACATGTTTTTGACAAGGAAACGTCTCAAAGACATACATAAAGACATGTAACACATTTAGTTATCACAATATCTCATACTATTTTAAACATTAAAAACACACCGGTCTGGCAAATTTCAAGGGCGTCAGAGGATTCTGTCGGTCTGAAACAAATCGTTCTGGAAAAAACTTTGAATCGGATAAATTCCTAGCCAACATCAGACGGTTAAAATGTAATATATCCGGGACGGTTCTTTATACAGAACACATAATATTATTAGTGTTTTACATAATATTACTCTGTGCCCGTCGCGTGTATCACGTACAGCATTGGAGAGGAACACTCAGGCCATGCTGTTATCATTTTTGATTCAATCTCACCTCAACACGTCTATTCTTAGAGTTTTCTTGCACAAAATAATCACAACAAATAATGATCTGTGTAGTGTCCCTACACTAGCGCTGATGATGAACACTGACCTCTGTTATTATTACTTACTACAGTCTCGTGTAAAATACCGGCCTGTACGCGTTATTATAAACAGTTGTCTGGCTTCAGCGTGTAGACTTCCGCCGTGATTCATGCACGGATTGGACCCTTGTTGAACTGAAATACACTCTTTGCCCGTTTTACGACCAAGGGGACTACACTTTCTGGCAAATTTTAAACAAAATTAGGACCGAACCAAATGATGATTTAACTGTCCCCCACCCTTGGTACCTCCGAACCCTCGCACGAGGTCTGTTTGTCGGTAGACGCGTGCCTACTCGAGCCGGGCTGAACTTGCTCGTCAAGTTTGTTGTTTAGGATCTTGTGAGAAATGTTTGGATCGTGCGGAATGTGTCGGCTGGTGGTTGTTCAGGAACTTTGCACCGTTTTAAACGTCACATTCCCCGTTCGTTCCCACCACATATTATTACCAATTATCGCTTTCGGCTGTCAACAGTGAAAAAATACCTTTAAAAATGCGGTCATTCCGGAAGTTTTAGCGCTGATCTCCGTACATTTTGTGAAAGTTATAATTAGCTTAAGGACCCTCTATCTCTCCTCTCTCTTTCTCTCTTTCTCTAGCAAATACTAATTTTACAAGAAACATTACATCATGTGCTAGTGCAGATCTCCACTGAGGGGGTCCCTCGCTAGCAGCGCTGCGCTCGATTTATTGTGCATTACGTCAGATTTAAATCTGTTTTTCTCTCTTATATAGAGAGAGGGAGAAGGGCTGGCTGTTCAAATTAGTGGGATGTCTGGAGATTGTGGTGGTATGACCTAGTTGGTGGAGGGTTAAGACCTGTGGAGCTGATCCTCCCAGACAGCTAGCTCCACAAGGGTAATGAGCATTTTGGAGAGGTCAGGGCTGTTAGTTCTGATTGTAATCGAGAGAGGGCTGTATTGTGGTGGTGGAGCTGGAGTATTCTGACAAATGGTAATTGGGGACTGCTGACATGTGCTGCCATCTTGACGACCAACTTTCGTATTTTGTAATCTTATTCAGATTTCAGAGAGTATGGTCAGAGCGCACCATTGGTCATGGTGGAAGCACCGCATTGAAAATTCTAACCTAATCATGAAAATTACTATAATTTTGTTGCGCAGAGTAAAGTTTTCTAGTACCGTAAAATTAAGGGTGAGTGCAGTTCATTGCTCGTTCTCGGGCATGATGACACCCGTTCTTAATTTGCTCCAAATCTCGTCAGTTGGTACACCTGTACTTTCAGCCAATGACAAGCTCAGAACTAATGTCACGTGGGCGTGTTATCGTCACGTGACCCTAAGAACCAGTGTAATAGGGGACCTTGTTATACACTAACCGGAGCTGGGCGGGGGTCTTCTATCAATTGACAAATTGTAACTGAGTGACTTGTAGCGTCAGGATATTGCAGTGATTTAAACTTCTAGAAATTACTTTGGATAAGTGTAAATCTTATTATGGGTGTTAGTAAGTGTCGATAAGGGCGGAGTGTGTTACTTCTTGGATATTGACTCCTTCGTAAATTATTGTGCCTGGAGAATGAGAGCTGGAGGGTTGATAGAGTACAGGCAGCTGTCCTTCATTAGGTGTTTTATAGCGATTAATATGCTCGTGTATTTATAAAAGTGGAGTATGTGCCGTTTAGTTAGGCTCCTCCTCCAGTTACTAAACATTAAACAATAACGACAAACCCTGAAGCAGCGTTATTTTAGCGCCGAATCCTGACTATACTTCGTGTTTTATTCATATTGTGAATCCTTAGGTTGGAATTATCTAATTTGGTTGGTTTCTGTGCACCTCTTATTATTCAAAGAGTTGAGTCGAGAGCATTATGGGAAAGTTCTGCGTAAAAGCGCAACTTGGGTACAATTTGTCTTGGAAAGTAACATTTTTTAAATTAAATTTATATAGATTATTGCAACAGTTTCTTAGATGTCGTCTCGCATTAAAGTTATAAATAAACCCGTCGAATAATAAAGAAACTTCTAGAACATAGAAATTCTTAAAAACACTGTCAGTAGGTATGGAAACGCAAAAACAAAAACAAAAGTCAGATCATGATTAGTTTTGAAATTTCTATGTAGTGGTTCAGAAACATATGATCTCAGAGAACATCTTTTGTTCTCATATTATTAATATGTTCTACATCAAGGCCAAGGCTCATTTACTAACCCTACGCCTTGGTACAATAATTTGTCTTCCCGTTCTCCTTCGTAAAATGAAAGAGATCCTGTAAAATGTCTAAATTAGGACATCCTAGGTCATCTTTACCTCCTCGGAGTATTCTGACGGCTAATGAACTAAAGTCATTATATTTTAACCTATCTAATGAGGCTAATTTTTCTCGAATATGCAGTTTGCATCATAATTGAAAAGTGACTTTTTTCTCATGACTAAAAAGACTTTCTCCTCAAGTGATGATCTAACAGCATTTCCGAGATTAAGCCCTCCCACGCTGCAAAACATATCGCAGCTCTCAATCCACGAATTAGGCTCCAGCAACACTTCTTTTATTATGTACAGTATATTCTGTAACTGTAGTGCTGGAGCGATGACTTGTCTCACCACCGTAATGTGTTATTCTTTATTGATTGGCAAGCAAGCTGATCAAGAGTTAAAACTGTGGCGTTATTGTCACTCAAAATCTAGCTTGTATACGATGCAATATGATCACAGGAGGCATGGATTCGATAAGAAAGGATGCTTTTTAGCCGAAGGATCGTACATGTAAATGTGGATGAGTTTTATTGGCAACTAAACCCTGCAAAAAGTTCACTCGATTCCTTGAGGTCTCCTTGGATTGACTGGATCCGAGATTTAGACATTAAGTCTTGATTTTTGGCGAACAAATTTTTCGGGAACTAACTTCACGGCTGCAAATAATTACTTTCATTGAAAAACTCTGGGATAAACATTATGACTTAATCCAGGAACTGAGGAACTGGTCGACAACCCCCAGTTACAGTTACAAAAACCCTTTTCATTTGTCCAAAATGTAAATTGTAATGAGTTTTACTATGAAATCATCCGGGAATAAGTTCACTTGATTACTAAAGGTCTGTTTCGACAGGCTGGTGCTACGTCTTAGACTTAAAGTCTTTTAGATTACAGCCCTCCAGACTGTTGTAATGCCAAATATAAATTAAACGCCAAACAGCTACTGAAATACATGTCTGTTGAAGATAAGTCGTAAATCCAAGATTGTGTCAAATTCGAAAATTCTTAAAATCTATCAAAACTCATTCAATCAGTATTAAATCATAATGAGTTAAATTGTGAGGTAACCCTGTCACAACCCTGGAATAAGTTCACTTGATTCCCGAAGGTCTGTTTCGAGTGACTGGTTCTACGACTTAGACTTAAACTCATGTTTTTAGACTATAGTAACACTTTAAAATACAAATTTAACGCCTTGAACACTTGAACAGCAACTGCTTTTCCTGTCTATGAAATTATGACGACACTTGCCAGAATCTTTCTTACGGCTTTCGACTAGACGCCATGTCTATTTCAAATAGACACAATGTCTACAAAAATAACAAATATTGGTGATCATAGTAACATGTTGTGTTCCCCTCCCTGGCTTGGGTTGAGAAGAAATCTTGCTTACTGAATTATCCGCTCGATTCTCACCTCTCAGAAATACTGCTAAAATTTACTTTAAAGTATTGACGTACCCGGAGAACAAGGTCCCAAGTGAAAACAATAATTAATACAATTTATTACGTGGGTTAACCCAATGACGTAGAATCACTACGTAAATGGACATAATAATAGAAGTATTATCATCGAACTTTCGTCTGAGTGGAGAATGAAATTTATTGTTAGGGTCAGTCACTGATTAAATTTCTCAATTTCGATGTGATGACTTGATCCCCACATAGCTTACTCTACTGTAACCCGGGTCTGTATTTTTTGGTAACATCTGCGGACGAACTGTGGTTACCTCCAACTTTCGCTAAGTAATATCAGCTAAATTTGCTAAATTCTTATGTACATGTAAGTTCTTATGTACATGTCCATTGTTCATGAGTCGCTTTAGATGGCTTGAACTGAATCTTTAGATTTTGAGTTCTCTTTGGCTATAAACATGTAAAGCGATGTATAAATTTCTAGTTATATTATTATTAAATAATGCAACTACACGATTACAAATAAAATAATATCACCACCCCATCTTCAATCTCTCAATGCTAAATCCCTCCTCACTCCTATCTAACAAACTTATTAAATTACCATGCTAACTTCACACTCTTATTACAGACAGCGACGTGATGGTGCACCTGCCTCATCTACCACAAGCCCTGACCGAGCGAATACACAACCTCAAACCTGAGAAGAGAGAGGTGATAAGTGATAACTAGCTGTTATTCTCACCAACTTTTACATTTTTAAAGTTATTTATCTTTACCCCTTGCTACTTTTTGAGAAAAATATTTCTCTTTGATTATTATAAGTTATATTATGTAAAATATACACTGTGAAGGGAGTATAATATTATATTTATAATTTATATTGGGTAAAACTTGTAAGGATTCTTGTAAGGATTGCTTGTCTTAATACGGACTTGTGGTCGTCTTCACATTGTAAATATAGCACAATTCCGTTCTACTTCACAAAATACTAAGTTTCATGGTCCATCCGTCATTGGTGAAATATACTAAAAATAGACCTGCAAAAACTTAGGTCACTCGCCATAATAAGAAGAAGTTCCTTCACTGTCCCATCTTTCAAGAAAATTACAGATATGACACATATCCATGTAGAGTATCTTGGAGGATTCTAAAGATAGCTACATGTGTCGGTTGTGACGTGAAAAACACACGTTATCAAGACGTCTTTGAACGTAATAAACCGCTGATAATTAAGCTGATTAACGATTTAATCTCTAGTCTAGTTAGTATGATGTGCGTGACGTGAGTTGTTTGCTACTCAGCTTGCAAACTTTGTGGGACGATAATAATTGTGCTGACGAAACAGTAAACAGTAAGCAGAATAGTAAACAGTAAGCAGAATAGTAAACTTACGTGAACGTTTTTCACGGTGTTCACTTAAACTGCATGTGATGTGACGTGAGCTGATTAAACAGTTTATTTCCATAATATGGTGCTGCTATAAAGGGGGCTGTGACTCACATTTGTCTTGGCACATTGGCAAGTTGGAGCGAGTTATTCTTGTGTGAGATGTCAAAACAAATGGGCAATTCCACGGTAAGGTTCCACTTGGTGAAAATGAAAAATGTTAAGATAGGCACCTAAATTTGGTTAAAATATGTTCATTAGACTCTTAACCTTACAGGTCAACAAAAGTTTTTTGTTTCATATTGCATTAACTTTTGATTTTTCTCATTCAAAGGAACACTACTCGGAAATGAAAAAAATCATTCAAATTTTCAAAGGGCCATAGTTTGGGTATGCAGCAATATTTCTCTATGAAATTCCATACACTTAAGCATAGGCATAAGAATGAGAGCCATGCAAAGTTTCAAAACCGTTACTCAAATACTTTTTCTAAAAAATTTCCACAAAGATGGTGTCGCGTCTGTCACAAAATTAAGCAAAAAAGTTTTTTCAGAGCCACATAGTGCTATTTATATTCAAAAAACCACTGTAACCTATCTCTTCTGAAGGTAAGGGAGTACCGTAGAAATTATCAGGCTTGTATCTTTTAAGAAAAAAATTTTGGAAGGGGGGTCCCAACTTGTCGCGTCCGTCACATTTTTTTGAAAATGCTCCAAAAAATCTTTTAACAGACTTTAAATGCATTTTTGTTAAAGCTGAGACCGTTCTTAACAAAACGATGTTGTCAAATCGAAAATTGGACAGAAAATGACTGAGTTATGTATAATTTTGTATATATGCCCATATATGGGCGTACGGCTCACTTTTAGCCATTATTATCCATATTTCCATTATTTTGACTAAAACCAAGACAAATTGAAGTCAAATAAGGTTTGACTATGTTGACTAGACTATCAAATAACATCATATACAATTCAATAATTAAATTTACTGAGTTTTGCCATTTTATTTGCCTTAACCTTTTTCAGGGGTAAAAGGCACAAAAAATGGACTTTACCCTATTTTCGCATATTTTTGAAGTAAAAATTCAATATCTTCCACATTTTAAACACTAAAGTAATGAAACTTTTGGGAGATGGTCTCAACAGTGTGATGTGTTGAACAGAAATGAATGTTTTACCAGAGTTATAAATTTGTTCAAGTAGAGAAATAATTGCTGCCCCTAGATTGATACCCTCGCGTATGCCCAAAATGGACGATTTTGGCTATTGCAGACCTCGTGGAAGTACCAGCGGCCTAAAAATTTGCATAAATATAGAATGAAGGTCACTGAACAAGATAAAAGTGTCAAATAGAAGATTTGGAGAAATTGAAAAAAAAACGTGTGTCCGTCACAGTCACGTCTGTCACAATTTGAAAATGGCGCCACGCAAACAAAAATTGAGCAATCTCCAAAACAATGGTATCTCAGAAATCCCTAAACCTTTTTCTATCACTGCATGTCCAAATTAGAGATAATAGATAACGTTTTGAGATAGATTTGGGTACCTTCTGAGTAGACACCCACAAAAAGTGTCATATTTAAGTCGCGTCCGTCACAGGGGTGCTATCTCAGAAAGTAATAATGGTAGGGGTCTGAAATTTTCACACAACCTATAGAAAGGTTAAATGTGGACTAATAAATAGTTTAAGCTGATATAGAAGCAACATCCTGAGCACAACATTCGTTTGAACTTTTAAAAATGGCATAATCGTGGTGTCCGTCACGGTGGAATTGCCCAAATATCACATACGGATCGGTTTGGCAGGAATGTAAGTCCGATATATTTGTCGTGCAGTACTAATTATAGAGCCATCGGAATATAGCATATATTATCATGAACCCCCTCCAACAATCACACATTTATGTTTAAATATATTGAGCTGACATTTTCTTTGATTATTATTTATTATTGTACTGAAAATAAAGTAAACCGCACTATGAAATACATGGCAAATTAATCAGACTGATCACTATTGCATGGGATCTACAGATTATGTGAATTTATCCTGCATATTTAATGATAAACTAATTATAGCACTTTAAGTGTTCGGGAATTTTCTTAAGAACATGAACTGTTAAAATTGTGACCGTCCTAAGACGGTTTTGATTTAAGAAACCATGGGTTTAACTCATCTATAATAATAACCATCATTTTGATCATTACGCCATCTAGCACCCAATCTGTTAAAAGTGTTTTCTCTAGAATGTGTATTATTTAAATTATCTCCGGATATAATCTTATATAATGTGAACATCATTAGTGGGGTTAATTAATTAATTAGTGGGGTTAATTATATGAGAAACCGTGGGTATTATACAAGTCATTTAATAACCATTATTTCAGATGATTTTAGCGCACCATCTGTTCGAAGCCAGGAACGGAGATACAAGTCGGTTAGCTAACTTTGGGTCCGATCTGATCGTGGGTTTAAATCAGCACGCTGCGTCCATTGGTCAACCTAAACATAAGGTACGTTCAGTTGAAAACTCTTCTTAACGTTTTTAACTATTTTTATAGCTGTTGTACGTTTTTTGTATTTATTTACCATTTTACATGTATTTTTAGCTGTATTATTCTCCGTGAGTCGTGGCATAGATCAAAGTACTTGTATTATGACCAATAAATCAATTTTGTAAACATTGAAAGATGTTACGTACGATATTGGTTGCAGAGAGCTTGCGTGCTGTATATTATTATATAGTAATAATATGATATTTTTTTACTTTAACACTTTTTTACTTTTAATACTTTCAACACTACTAGTGGTATAGATATAACAAATAATTTGAGGAAACGATGTAACAGAGTCGATATATTTTAATGTTGCCATGGGGTCATCGTGGTCCGGTAGTTTCATTGCGTCCTAATATAGTGAATGAAAAGAGCTGCAGGAATCACTCTGTGTGTGTGTCACTTACTGTGTTATTTGTACCAATTGTAGTGTTTGGGGTTGCAGGATCCCGACTCCAATTGTCTTATTGTTTTGACTCCTTCTGCAGCGAAAAATATGAGATCATCTCGAGTACCCGCTCTTTGTACAAAATACCCCTAGAAACCACTCGTAGAACTAGACATCTACATTAAGGAGCATCAAACGAAACTTAAGGGATTAGGGATATCCCTTATATATAATATACTCCCTTATATATTTACTCTAGACTAATACTAATACTTGATGAATTTATTCAGTGAAACTCCATTTTCGGGTATGAAAGAAATGTAGCATCTCAATCAATTGTTATATCGTTATAATGTGTCGTGTCCCAGCTATCTCCCTTACTCCCTTATAATAGAATGTCGCAAAAAGATTGTTGAATCGGAGATAATATGTGCGATATTGTTTTCATCCCGCGTACTGATTTGCCAAATCTTCACCATCACTGCAGCTGCATTACTCAAAATCTGAAAATCAATTTCCAAGAAACAGAAGGTTAATCGATTTAAAATCTAAGTACATATCATATTATTATTATCTCAGATTATAGTACAGTGCGGGCGAAGATTATACCAGCATGGAAAAGTTAGCAACATTTAACGTTAACATGACATTTGTTTACATTTTTCATCGAGTAATCTCATCAGACCGCCATACCCTTCCTTTTAAAACACAATCATGTACTCGGTATTGTAATTTTACATAAATCTAATGGAAACCCTACAAAGGGTCATGTAATAACTCTGCACAACATTCTTTTCATACCAAAGCTACCAATCACGTAGCCGAACCAGTGGCACGGGTCACCGATCCACCTATCAGCTCTCAGTTTAGTACCTAGGCTGTGAAAAGGAAAACCGTGTCTATCATCTTACTTCGACCAAGGTGTATCGGAACTAGCTCTGCTCGGGCGTCAGTAAATTCTTTTAGTTGTGCTCTGGAATTTAATACGTTCTACTGTTACATGTTGAAGTTTGTGTATAATTTTATGCACATAGTGAATAATATGTGAGTGTATAGTTTACATATCGTATATTATATATACTTACAATATTATATACCAGTAGTTGCGTGGAACACAACTTTTCTTAAGCTAATGTAATGTTAATCATCCAACTTTACTAACAAATTCTGGGATGTATAGTAAGATGCACTGCATATTTCATGACATGAAAACTTGTTCAAAACACATTTGTATGCAGTGTACAGTATGATAAAGAAAATAGTCTGCAATATCAATTTTGTGTATTATACTACTATGTCAAAGTCTAATTGGAAGGCTTGGTTGCCGTCTATTACCTCTTGCACTTCACATACGGCATGGTCCGGGATGATAATGTCCACGTTTTGCCATTTCAAAAATAAAAGGGTCATTGTGTTATCTTGTCAATTCAATTAAAGGAGAACTTTCACTATGACCATTCAAATTTCTTCTTTCTTGTTCAGCTTTAATTAATTTCAGTGCCTGCCGAACTCCCACTTTTTAGAACGGGCGTGTGTTAAAAGATATATTGTTCTTCTGTTCTTTAGAACACTGTCTAGGTAGCAACTTACATGGATCAATTTTTGGGCGGAATTCAATTAATTATTTCTTTATCTGCTGCTTCTTAAGAATTTCTACTTTGCGTAACGCGCTAAAGCATAATCATACACCACCAACCACTACTAACAAAGCGCGCGCATTTTGTAAATCGTGCGCGCGCGCGTGGTTACGCCCGTTCGTTCGTACCGACAAAACATAAATAAACAAACGTGATCCCTTTGATCGAAACACTTTATTTACTCTTTATTTTCAGCCTATAATGCTGATAAGTGGTGAACAAGGGTGCGGCAAGTCGACCCTCCTGTCCAGATGGGCTCTGCAGTACGGCAACAATTCGGATATTCCTCTGATAACACACTACATCGGATGCAGCAACTACAGTCGTGATCTTTCTCATGTGCGTATCCAATGTGTCGCTTAGCAAATATTGTAAACAAACTCCTTTTCACCATCACGTAATTCTTTTATCAGCAGGAATGCATTTTCCTTGTTTTGGGTGTTTTACTTTAGGATAAGACAAATACGTAACACCAAGCTTTTGCGTCATCAAGTTTATACGTAATTTTTTTATTTACCGTTTCATTTGCATATGATTCCTTCCGCACAATGGTCATATATCACCAATTATCGCACAATCCATGATGCACGCACATCATACAAACAGAGTCCTGCTCCACGCTAGTGAACTAGTGATCTCTAGGATCTAATCGCTGCTGCACCTTAAACGTTTTATCAGATCATGACACAACATCTGTTGTTGGTCACTAATGACTTTCTATAACTGGTAATTTCTTCAGATGCTGGAGAACGTGCTACAAATTCTAGGCGTGGATATTGATGAGAGCGGTGGAGAAGATCAGCTGATGACCGAATGTACCAGGAAACAGTGGAGCTCGCTTCAGGTTTGCAGGATTGTGCCAATCATTAACTCAATTAAAGCCTTATGTTGCGTGCACGTATTTCAATTATAGCCATTTTGCGTCAGCCGTGACATTTTGTCATTAGTGTTTATGTAATTGCAGTGTCAGACACTTAGACAGGCCTTTTTTCGGCTGACATAGGAAGGAGTAAAGAACTTGTAGCGACATATCGTCATTGTACAGAACCTTTATCCTAATCACTTCCGTTAAAAAATCATTAACAAATGAAAAATGTCATCAGCTGTCATAGTTCATTCGTTAATGATTTGTTAACGGAAGTGCTACCAGACTATCATTCAAATTGGTAAAATGAAAACCTGCCACAAATTAATTCAAACCTCGTCACCAGGACAACATCGAGCTGTTTAACCGGGTAGTACAGGCCAAGGAACAGAAGTTCGTCCTGGCTATAGACTGTCTGGAGAGCCTGTCAGCTGACAGTGACCACGCCCACGTGTTGGAGGACTTCACGTGGTTACCAAACAACATTCCAGACACGTGCAGAATCATCATCACGTGTACAACTAACTCGCCGCAGTATCAGAACTTTACTGAGAACTACAACAGTAAGGTAAGGGTCTGAGACGGAATATTCCTTTGAACTGTGTTATTTTTTTAAAGAAATTCAAAAAATTCCCGTAGAAAACATTAGAAGATCAAAAAATCCACCTTGACATGACACAGACATTTTATTAACCTTCTCGACCCATTTCATTACGTCTTATTATAAACTAGGGAGAAAATAACCATGTCGAGTATCACATGGGCGGAATATCAGACGTGGAACAGAGGAAAATAGTGGTACAGAAACACCTGGAAACATATTGCAAACATCTGGATCCTCAACAGCTCAATACCATTTGTAACACCAGTCTCAGTCACAACCCTATGTATCTGGTACGAGAATATATTATTATAGCGCCAATTTTAAATGTTTTGTTGTATTCCCAATTCCAGACAGGTGGAATAATATTTGATTTTAGGAAATATTCTCCATCTTTATCTACCAAAATAATCAGCCCATCTGCTATCTAAAACGTGAATTTATAACAATTTCAATTTAATTTAAGTTGGATATATTTACGACACACCACATGTTTAAAAACAGGTGTGGTTATTTTATGTGGTATCCCAGGTCGCTGTGGCAAACGAACTCAGGGTATTCGGTATCTACGAAAAGGTAGATGCTCAGATAGAATCCATTGTGGAGGTAAGATATATTAATTTGTTGATAAAATCAAAATATTTACAATATTTACATGAATTCACACTATTTACATTATAAGTCTTTGGAATTGATACCATTATATTAATAGAATAGCTCGTATAGGACTCACGAAATTGTAAAAATTAGAGCCGACATTTTTCTCAGCTATTAATAGCATCTGTTGAGAGGTAACAAATTAGTAACACAACTAAAGAAAATCACATAAACACTAATAATTCTAAGCCATCTAATAGCGATTCGGGACGGCGACTTGCCTAAAAATAAAACGGAGTAAACTAACTGTTCAGAATGTGTCACTTTATGGCCGACTAACAATTATATCTATTTATAACTGTATATTATACATATATTAGGTCTATAATATATGTTAGGCCTAACTAAATATATATTAGGCCTAACCACGACCTGCTAATTGGTCCGGTCCATGTCTATGAAGATCATGAAAAGGAAGAAGTAAATAACGAAAGGTAGAGTAATGGTCAGGACTGTTAGACTGAGAATACTCTGAGATTTTGAGCTGTGACAATCCCTTATCTCTTTTATCCTTTGGAATCTGAAATATTTACTCGATAAAACATTAATATTCCTCGTATAATTTATGATCGCACCTTCCAACTAGCGGTTAAAGTTTGCCTCCCTACCGACAAAAAGAGTTCCTAACCTGAACTCGAGCTCCTTGATTCGTCTCGCAATCTTGTCGTTTCCATTTTCCAGTGTGAACTCCATGTCCTTGTACTCATCTTCTTCTTTCATTTCGTGGTGAACTATTTGTGCTAGGATCTTCTGTAGGAAATGAAACAACTTTAAGGAAACGTCCAAAACGAGAAAACAAGTGAGCTAGAATATTCTGAAAAAGCAAGAATTTTAATATTGGTTACTTCGCGATTATTCTGATAAGAAAGGTCTAACTAAGCGTATGATTGCCGATCTGTGATGACGTAATAGTCCGGCAGTCTCTCGGCACCACTAAGACGGGAAGCTAAAGATGGATTCTGACGCGGACTACCCATACCAAATGAAGCGGTCTATGACTGACCCTGAACAACAGTGACTTAGTGTGACTAACCTGCCTATCGGGCTCTAGAGAGTAGTACTGAGGCTGTTTCCTGATGTTGCGGTGAGTAATCAGGTTCATCATGGGAGCGGGAGGCGGTGCACCTCTCAACCGCATCGGAGCAGAACTGTGACTGCCCGGCATCGCTAAAGTTCCTGGTTTTAACTTGCCGTGTTTTAAGTTCCTGGTTGTGGTGATCTAAGTCTGTGTGACGTTTATAGAACAGAGAACAAAAGGATAGTGTTAGTAGTAAGTAGAGTCTTGTGAGCTAGCGGAAAAAGAGCAGACAAAGTGTGGAGTAGACAAAGTGTGGAGTAGACAAAGTGTGGAGCAGGCGGAGATCCAGTGTGCTCACTGCAGCTCCTGATACTAGAGAGCGGGAGGCAGTGTAACAATGCAGCGTCTTATTATTATTCATGCTCCGGTATAGTGCCCCGGTTTATATTCCTACATTATGAAGATGAGGCTGAAATTGGCCAGGATCCAAGTGCTAAAACTTCACAAACGTACAAATTGTCAAACTAAGGTTTATTAACATGACAAATGGAATAAATTATAGATCCTTCCTGTCACATTGATTGTAGGCACGAGATAAAACAAAATCTCTGTTTAAAACGAAACTTAAAAAATTAGCAAAACGATTCGCCTTAGTATTTAACTCTACATTTAATCTACATGAATCCCTTTCTCAATCCAACCCCTTTCAGGCTCCAACGCAAGAAACTCTGTGGTACAACATCTTCATCAGATGGTGCAGGGACTATGGTTGGGCTGACAACGTAAACAACAACTGGGTCCAGGATGCGCTCTGTTTCATCGCCATGAGTAGACGAGGTAAAGGCATAATATGTATTGAATCCATATGATAATCTCCAGACAATATAATTAACCTTACTGCACTGCACCCACTGCATGATACTTGAATTCAAAGTAGCAATATTGTCAAATATCATTAATCAATTAACTCACTCTTGTCTTGTAGGGTTGACGGAGCAGGAAATTCTGGGTGCTTTACAGATGAGTGGGTACAGGGATACAACTGAAGTGAAGACTGCCGACTGGGCTTCATTTTACAGAGCTGCTCAAGATTCTCTTATCAAGGAGCACACCGGAATATTTTCACTTGCTCACGGTTGTGTTCAAAAAGCGGTACGTTCACTTTGCAAGTATCTCAAATATTTTGGCTACTTCATGAAAGTGGCGTAGAACTGGCTTACAGTAGTAGCTTTGGCGATAGGAAATCAAATCAACAACCGATTAATAATTACTCGATTAACTGTCGGCAAGTTTCCAATTACTTATCAATAAGCAGGTGTTAAACATATTTTTCACAGGTGCTATGCTCCGTAATGGGCGGAACCCCCGAGGTTAAACTGGACGAAATCAACCAAAAATACTCCAACCACAAACTGAAACGGATGCCAAGCTTCTTCCGGAAAACCCACAATTGTTATCACACGGTACGAGCTTTGTATGTTTAATAAACACACAATAATAATATGATAAACGCACAAATTTGCTTCACTAACAATAAACAATATACAATTTATTGTTTGCTGTTAGTGAAGCAAATTTACTTGCCTTCGTGTCGAAGACCCCGTATATATTTTAACGTTACAACAAAATATGTAACGCTACAAACATCATCTGAACCGCCACACTTTACTTTTAAAAGCAAGATCAATCGAACCTGTCGAGTTTATCTAATTTAACTGTCACACATTTCAGAAACTTGCCAACTACTTCCAAACTCAGCCCATCAATTGGAGGACTTTAGAAGAGTTACCCTGGCACTGGTCTCAGGTTATTTAATATTTTATACTTTACTTTACTCTGACTAGAGCGGTTAACGATAAGAGTTAATATTAGACATTTTAATATGTATTGCTGAGGTAATTACTAATTAGGTTGATTAAAACTTATAGGAATCTTCTTACGTTAACCTCATGATTGTTTGCTGTTTCAAACAATCATCATGTTATATTTGAGGTTTGATATATCATCTTGATTCTTGATTAAACTTTTAATTGGATTGAATTTCAGGCCCTTCGATGGAAGAAACTGCACAAAATAGTGAGAACACCAGAATATTTTGAGTTGTTCCGCTCAAGTTCCGAGATCAACCAGTTCAACACATTTAATATAGATCTGTTTCGGTACTGGGATGAAATGAAGCAACATGCCCCTAATCTAGACGGTCCTGCCGAGGTGAGTTTCAAGATTTAAATGTATGATAACTTTGTATGGGAATTATTCTCTTGATGTCTTCATTAAAATAACTAACTAAATAATTGTGCAATGGTATTAAATAATTGATCGTTAATTAAAGTAACTAATTAAAGTAATTAATCGAAGTTATTATCCCATTAGACGTATAACAGGATGATGCAACATGAACTGACTCAGTCGCTCAGTGACGTCACATTCATGAACGATCAAAACGAGGTAAAAATCAATTATAAATATAATATAATAAATATAGACTTTTTAATTAGCTTTGCATAATATAACTCTCACATGTTATTTCATATTGATTTTTTTTCCCTACTCTTGCCGAAGGCAAAAAGATCGTAGGGAATAAGTAATCGGGTTTGGATATATGAGGTGGCCCGATGGACCTGCGATGATGACAAAAGTCTGCTCCTTTGAAATATAGACCACTCCCCTATAATTATGTGTATAGGAAGCGTCTGTTATGCTGCGCGCGACGCTAGCCATGTGTTAATTAATTACAGCGAAATTCCTCCTTCGCAAAGTTATTTTCCGCAATTTTCTGGATTCATTTATTGTTGATGCGCGGCGCTGCATTGTTCAAATAAATCGTCAATTTTTACCATGCACGAATCCCACTCATTTATAAACAACATAGTATGTAAATATGGTGCACTTTTTTCCAGTCACACTTTTCACACAAAAGAATTAATGGTACAAGTACATGGTAGGGAAAATTGATCGTGCGTGGTTTAACCGCGGCGAAATTCTTGTTAAAACTGGAGAAACTTTATAGAACAAGTAAGTAACAACGATTAAATTTTGCTGCACAGTCACTAATAATGTAAAATATAAAACTTACATCATGTCTCAAAATCACCATGGCTTGCAAGTAAGGCTTTCAGATAAACCCAATTTAATCATATTACTGGGTTTCTACCAAGCAAAAGCCGCTCTCAGCCAGCCGCTTTCACCATGATGCTTAATATAAGTATGACGTCACTATCCTATCAGACAGATTCCATAACCAGTCTGATAAATATCTATACTACTAAGCATTATTAGTTTTAGCAAAATATTTAAAATAATTAGTGATAAAAATCCAAAATTGATTTTAACCAGGCTACAGTATTCAGCAACTGCATAGTCCGAAAATGCAGGGCTTGTCCGTGTTGGGATGAAAAAACATTGTTAAAAACAGGAGTGAGTTGTCATGCTAAGTGTGCTTAATTAACTAATTAGCTAAGTGTGCCTAATTAGCTAATTATATAAGTGTACCTAATTAACTAATTAGCTAATTGTACCTAATTAGCTAATTAGCTAAGTGTACCTAATTAACTAATTAGATAAGTGTGACTAATTAACTAATAAGCTAAGTGTACCTAATTAGCTAAGTGTATCTAATTAACTAATTAGCTAAATGTGTCTAATTAACTAAGTGTACCTAATTAACTAATTAGCTAAGTGTACCTAATTAGCTAAGTTTTCCTAATTAACTAATTAGCTAAGTGTGACTTATTAACTAATAAGCTAAGTGTACCTAATTAGCTAAGTGTACCTAATTAACTAATTAGCTAAGTGTACCTAATTAACTAATTAGCTAAGTTTTCCTAATTAACTAATTAGCTAAGTGTGACTAATTAACTAATAAGCTAAGTGTACCTAATTAGCTAAGTGTACCTAATTAACTAATTAGCTAAGTGTACCTAATTAACTAAGTGTGCCTTATTAACCAATTAGCTAAGTGTGACTAATAAGCTAAGTGTGCCTAATTAACCAATTAGCTAAGTGTGACTAATTAGCTAAGTGTGTCCAATTCTGCTATCGCCTTTCTCGCTGCTGACGATCACTTCGTTACTTTTTGTTTTTTTGCGTTCTATTACTATACCCTTATACCTATTTATGGAGTTATTTACTGTCGCTATCCTCACATCTCTTTTTGTGGTCATATCAAGTTTTGTCTTTGATCACCTTTTACACTTTTACAGTCCATACTGCACAGTTCCTGTTAGTAACGAGAGGGGCCCCCGTTGCTACGTTTTTGTATTTTAAATAAATAATCCAGAAATTTAATAGATTAAATCTAAAAATTCTACATCATATCATGATCTAGATCATAACACTGCAGTCCCATTATTTTTCCTAATATAACCAATTATATTCTTTACTCAAAATTTGGTAGGCTAACAATTTCACAATTTCGACTAGTTTTTATGAATCATTTTTTGGAGATAATGGTAAATAGAATCAAGAAGTCAGTAAATCACTTACTCAAGAAGGTAGACACACCCAGACCTGTTTCGCGAAATAACCCTTGTACCATTCTACCGTACATGTTTCCAGAGCCCCAATCTTCTGATCTCCTTCTTGATGTTGCAAATATTTCAGACGGCAGAAGAAGACAATGAAGAACAAATGAAGACACTCGTTGAAAGAGCCACCAATCACGTAGCTGCTGAAGAGTCGATAAGGTTGTCCAAATGGGCGTGGCTGGCTGGTCAGTTTCTGGGAGAGATCTGTGATTACGAACCTGGAACCAAATTACTCCAATATGTTAGTACGATTATTTTATTTAATGTTAACTATATTGAGTACGATTTAATCCAGTGATAGCTCAAACATCTTCGATCACAGCTACAGCTAGAATATCAATAATGTAAAATCAACAAATGAATTTTTGGTTTGTAATTTTCTCTCTGTCTGTTTTATCAGCGTAGGTAACCACTGTCAAATTTATTATCAAACTGATATCAGAATTATTTTTCAGGCCAAACTGCTATGTCCATCTAAAAAATCCGACCTGCTGTACCAAATAAACTACTCCCTCGGTAAAGTTTACTACTACAAAATCGACTGGGAAAACGCACGGAGGAGTTTCCTGGAGGCCCGGAAAGAGCTGAAAAAATGCAGGAAGGACGGAAATGAGCAGTTGGAGGAGGAATGCGCTCTCCTCAACAACACTGTGTCTTGTATGTTGATCATGAAACGTCTTGGTGAGTGCCATCTTTAATCACTTTTCTGCTTTGAGTTTTATTTGCTGTGTGATAGTTCACTGCTTCTTCTGTCGAGTTCCAGGTTCAGCCAATATCTTTCGAACTGTCGCCCGCCCAGCAGGTGTTAACCTTGAGATGGCCGTGTCGAGAGAATAATTAAATAGATTAAATTAATGTCAATACTCCAGATGAAGCTGAACGGTTGCTGAAAGAGACTGGAGACAAATACCAGCTACTCAACAGATACGAACAATCTCCCGGATATTTCATGTACAGATTCAACAAATCAAGGTTAATATTCAGTTACATTATGTTGCTACAAGTTTTACTTTATCAATATCTATCAAAATCAAAGATGAGAGAACTCTCTTAGAAGTTGTGAAGGATTTAGTTTAAGAAATTGTGAATTTAAAATAAAGAACAAAAAAATGCAGGTTGATAGCAAAACGAGCCACCAAGATGACGGACCAGAAGAAACAGGAGGAGAGATCGACGCTATTTCGAGAGGCTTTAGCGATATTCGACGAGACGTTACAATTCAGGATGAAACACTACGGGTGGAGGCACCCGTTAGTTGCTCTTAACTGGCAAGAACAGGTTAGTTGCACACCATCGTGCTTAATAGTTTACCGAGAAATTTAGAAGAATTGTCCTGGTAAACAACTTTTCAGTTAACTTCAGTCCTGACTCCTCTTTTCCAGGGTTTCCTCTACCACTCTTGGGGAGACCGTATCGAAGGAGAGAAATGCTTCAAAAAAGCTCTGGAAATCTACGAGGAAGTTCTGAGTCAGGATCACGTGCTAATTGCAACCTGTAAATATCATCTGGGTATGATCTATCAGGAGATGAGAAAATGGCACCAAGCCCTCCAATGTTTCCAGGTAATAATTTCGTTTTTTCTAAGATTGAGTCCCAAAATTCTGTCAAATTTCGGTTTGTTATGACGTTATACGCCTAAATTCGCCAGTTTGATCAGTTTGTAAATTTCAGTGCTAAAAACCTGTTTATTTTACTAATTATACTTATATTATAATCATCAAACATTCATTCACACACCCTCATCTGTCTTTTCAGTGCATCACGCTAGTACAAGTTAACAAGTATTCCAATGAATTCTAAACTGTTTCACTTGATATGACGTCGCTATGACGTCTAGCTATAAAAGTAAAGTTCGCATAATAGCCTCGCCCTGAGTAGTAAGTGTATTTCAGGTTGCTCTTAAGATCCGACAGAAACGCTTCGACTTCAGTCGGAGACATTGGAAAGATATAGAACGGCGCATGAAGAGGTGTAGGGATCGAGTTAGAAGCGAGATGATGGGTGATTTGGATAGGTGATTCATGGAGTGTCTTGGTCACGTGTTGAGTGTCTTAGTCACGTGTTGTTGAACGATAATATCTCGTTATCATCGTTCGTGTTTATTATAATCGTGATCTTATCATTCGTGCTTTATCCTTTTTCTATCCATGTTGTACGAGTGATTAGCCTTAGAAGATAGCACAGTGTAGAACTGCTGCTTATCAGCGGCAACGAGGGTTGAGGACACATTCCTGTAGTTGAACCCTGTATTCTGAAATTGTTGTAAGTCTTACTCAGCAACTCAGCGCAGTTAGTGGTTGCAAAGTGGTTTAATGTTAGCGCTCCGTCGAAGTGTGGCACTCTATCCTTCAATTTGTGAGCATAGTTTGTTGAGTTTGAGCGTTAGAATGTTTATGTGTTAATAAAGATAGTTTGTTTGAGCGATCGAGGTCCGAGGAAGCAGTATTCTACGTACATGTTTCAGCATTCAAACTACTTGTGTTTTAATGTCAAAGTTTGAGAACGATATCAGATATCTCCGTAATTACCGGCGATCGTGGCCATGGGTGGATACTGGATCATCGGACGGATGAAGCTGGAACTCGGAGAAGTAAAAGAATTCTCTCCGAAGAACACCAAACTTCGCGTTATAAAAATATTATCGATCTGTGTAATTTCACCATTTCAGACTGATTCATATTCTCATATAAAAACATTCACCACTTTTTCCATCATCAACATTAACATCAATAAATTCTTGTTTATTCATTTTTCCAGTCACTTATTCTACCATTTGAGAGTAAATGTACAGCCCTTTTAACAGCACCTTTCAGATCGCCTTAAGGATAAGACAGAGCAAATTCACCCATGCTAGAAGATGGACAGACATCTCACGGAGGATCGTTATTTGTAACAAAAAAATTGATGAACTGAATGACCCCAGGTAAACACAAAACACAACTCACAAGGAAAATGCTGGCTCTGATGTCACTGAGGCTCAACTTGCATTAAAATCTATTTTTAGTGGAAAACCTCTTTATGATGTTCTTTTTATGTGTTATTTGTTAAATGTAATGCGTTTTGGCCTTTACTTTGGTGATTTATGTCAATGTTTAATATAGATAATGCCGATTTCCGTTTTACTGTCAATATTTAGCCCATGAAGCTGTCGCTGACTTGGTGCGACTTCAAATTCTATCAAAAAACCTTAGCAGTTCATATTTTTGTTGATTTTACTTCTAATTTTAATATATTTAACACGCTTCTTCTTGTTATCGCTAGATACTCAATTTCAGGTCTAGTTCCGCTCCTCCACCTAGAATAAACCCTCCCTCCACGGGGACCACCACCACTACAACCACCAACAGTTACCATAGCAACACCCGCTCCAGCCACCTTGACAACGGTGAAACCACCGCAACCACTAGGGAGACGAGCAATTCGAGGACAACCACAAGCTCCACAACAACAACCACAACCGTACAGCATAGACCGTATGATAGAATTGAAATAAGCTCACAGTTTCAGAGGTTGTCTCTTCATCTGGAGATGTCCACGACCATTTAGTAGTAAAACAGAAAATTTATTCATTAAGTTATTGGTATGTTTATATTATAAAATATGCACTTTAGTTGGCAGATCTTTGTCTGGCAAAATTGATTTGATGATGATGAACGGAGCTTTTTTTTCATAGGTTTGGAATCTTGATTTTTCATTAAATTTGAGATGTGAGGGTTTTCTTATGACGGAGAGATTTTGAAGCAGTATGAACTTTATGATATGAATCCTGCTTCCATACGTCCCATATGTCTACTTCAATTACTGAAAGGTTTTTAGTGTTTTGATGGGTATGCCTCTCCATTCTCTTCATTTTTTCCAGGGTTGAAATATTTTAATCCGTTCTTTTGAAACAACTTTCGATTTTTCTACTACGCCATAATATAATTGTTATTCATATTGAAGGGGTTGTCAACATATTTTGTTTTTATCTGTAATAACAAGCTTTGAGAGTTTTAAAAGAGATAGTCATAAGGAAATTATTTTTATTTGATAACTTTATTTATAATTACACAGTGAGTGCCGTGAAGTGCATTTTTTGCATTTTTGCGCTTCAGCATGGGTTATAATACCTGTCTTTTTTACTTGATAAGTTGATGCTGATAGTGATACTGATGCAGCCTGTCAGGCTTTCAGAATCAAAATTGTAAATTCTACGAAGATCGGCCAGATTTAATTTGTTTCAGAAAAAATGTTTGGCGAAATATTTTAATCGTGAGGTTGTGGAACGCACGAATCCGTCGATTTTATGCTTTTTTCAAATACTGGTCAATCATTGTACATAATTTTTAATCCATTTTTATCTCAGTATTATTAAATGTACCAATCTAAGTAAGTGAACTCTAAAATGATTTCTGTACGCTAACGAATTTAAGTTCTTATTGGTGTACTTGTATTCAAAAAGTTACTGATTAAAATTCAATTAGAATTAATAACGGATCATATGTGCGACAGCTATTAGAAAAGTAAAGATACTAACAGTATTGGTACTCTTCTACTGGTTACTATTACCGTCTGATATCGCCGATATTGTGTTACATCTATTATAAATACAGACCAAGAGTTTGTCAATCTAATTATTTGTTCCTCCTTTGGTTTAAAAGCTACCATTTTCATACCTAGCATACAAAAATGTAGTTCACAACAACATTCGTTGCATATCATAAACCGGTAATAGTCATATCAGCAGTGGCAACATTTTGGGGTCATCTTAAAGTTTCGTACGATTAGAGATATTACTATTAGCGATTAGTTTTACTCGATTTTTCTTAAGGGTTATTATATATCACTGAATTTGATCTCAATTTCATCGACAGTGATAACCATTTTGAGCCAAATAGTGATTAGTATTGGGTTACTGATCCTTGATTTTATCTTATCAATTGGTGAATGTACTCAAACTGGAACTGTTCTATTTATTGCAAGTTGACCTGCTTTATTCATAATATCTTTTGGCCCAAAATGAGGTTTGAGGTTTTCATCTCTATTTGCCAAAATGGTTTAAACTTGAAAGATTGATACAATTATGTTTATTGATTCAGATGTATCATACAATATTTCCATGAAAACTGGTTTTATTTCTTGTCGATGGTTAATTCTTGTTGCATCCGTAGATCGGCGAGGTGCACCACTGGGCCTCGCTGAGTTGGGAAGGATTGACATCGTGAATCAAATTCTAATTAAACAATGATAATATGTAAACAGATGTGATCCTTAATTTTTCAATTACCCACTTTTCCTGGTTGGCGATGCATTAAATCAAAACATTGAGTAAATCATGTAAAAAGATAAATTGCACATTAAAATACGATTTCTTGGTCAATATTTCATCCGTAATGTCTACGAAGCTCAGGAGTTATCAGGAGTACCGAAATAGCTATCTATGACTTTGTACTTGTGGAACGTGGGCCGTGGATCCTCAAGTTCCCTTGCTGTGACCTATAATTGTTTTAGTTAAGCTCACTGCAGAGACAAAAGGAAATCGCGGCATGTACGGAATCGTGATTTTTCCCATTATTTGTGACAAATTTTATGTATAGTTTAATGTATAGTCTGTTAAAATTCGCGGTATCGCGATTTTTGGCCAAAATAATCTTGAAATCCTTTTGTCCGGCCTGGCTCACTGGGAATGACTACAGCTACCTACTAGCTAAATGAGACTATACTAGAAACGCTTTTCTAATGCTTTTAGGGCGAAAATGAACCCACAGCATTTAACAGCTCCTTAACATCTTAAACCTACAGATTGAGTTCAGAACTAACTAACCTGTCTGAGAAGTTATTGTTTCTGGAACACATATAGAACAAGGTGCCAGCCTTTGTAAACTTGAGAACGTGACCAAAGTAGCTTGCTGGTACATATTGATATGGACAATTTTGTTCATTTTTTGCGATTATTTGAACACAGAATTCACAGTTACCTTATCGGACCTTATTTGGACGGACATTACATGAACGGACATAATTATGAACGGACATTAATATGAACGCTCGAAGGCATTCAAAACCATCAAAAATCCGAATTTTTTCAATTTTTTGACGTTTTTTTAATTTCAGCAAATGATTTTTAAATCCATTTTTTATACAGTATGTAAGAAAAGCAGTCATTAAGCAGTAAAAATGTTAAAATATGTGTACATGATCAGTGACTAAAAGTAATATCACATATCATCTTCATCAAATGGGTTTTCACTTTTCGTGCATGAAATAGTCCATGCTTAAACAAGGATCAGTGATTTCTAGCTTTATGGAAACCTTTTTTTATCAAACTAACCCGGTCCTGCATTTCAGTGTTAACTTTTACAAGCCATTCGGCGTGAAGTGTTTTTTATCTTAGACAACTTTAGGTTAACCTTAACATCACGTGGGGCTTTCCTTGCACTGTTTTATTACCTCCCCTGAGTAATATGAACTATAACAACGTCGGACAATGTCCTTGGCAACACGATTTACCGTAATATCTAGAGGCTGGAACAAGTTTTTCATGTTGGCGGGGACTAGCTCATGAACTATGTTGTTGAGTGCCATAATTTCGGTGACTTTTTCCGCCAAGTGACCCTTGAAAACATCATATACTAGTAGAACTAGTGTTATATTATTTAAGAGAATATTTTAATGGTGTACAGTGTAAGCATAGTTCAAAAATGTCTCTATTGCCAAATTGCTTTCAGGCGTTTTGCCCGAGCAAAATGTTAAAAAATGTTTGCTTTCGGCAAACTTTAACTGTACGGTACTACTACTATAGTATTGAAATTTATAAAACCTTTGACATTCTGACTGTGGCGTACAGAAAATCATTCCTACACCCCTGAATTATCTGCTATTACATGTGAACATTGCGAGGTATCTAGGGGTAGGACAGGAGGAATTATTTTAGTTTTACTTTTACGCCTACGGGAAATTGAATAAAAATTGAATCAAGTAATCAAGCTTTCTTGGAAACGCGTAGCTCCAGTATAGACATGGGTTTAAGTATAAGTATAACTTACAAGTCATTATCAGGGTACCAACTACCACATCACGTTTGAAAAATGTAATTATATCTCCCCACGAATTTTACCTGGGGACCTCGAGGCTTCTCTGTTCATAAACAGATTGAATATATATTGGAATGACAATTGAATCGCCGAGCGCCGCCCAGTAACAAGAATTTTGATAGTATTAATTTGTTTATGGACACGTTCATTTGAGTTTGAGGATATTGGTAAACAAAAATAATAGCGTTTTTGACGATAGTGGCTTAATTTTGACATCTATTAACTTAGCACGTTCAGAAGTTCTGAACATTAGCCACGTAACTCATACTCCCATATGCACCGCTCAGAAAGAAAATCTATTGTTGTTAGGCACTATAATGTTTCAAATGTCACATTTTGTGTGACTTAGTTAACTGCAGTTGTCTAATTATCATTCCTTGGTCTGAAATATAGTAAATTAGGTCAATCTAACAATTATGATACAACATTGTTAATGGGCACGGATCGAACGGTTACAAGGCAATATTTGGGTAACTTTGTCACACTCATGATACCATACCTCTATTCTACTGTGAGGTGTCCTAAAAACCCTTTCAACTCATTATTTGATGGTTGCTCTACCAATCATAGCCCTAAAATATGTTGTTTGGACTAGTTAGCTAATACAGGCACTTGGTTATTGGGAAATGAGGTTAATTCTGTCACAACATATGAAATTTTAAATTTTGGGCGAATTATTTATATCTGATTTTGGTTTGAAAGGTGGAAAAAATTTTATATGATGACAATGTAGTTGATGCAAGTTAAGATCAGTTGATGTTTACATTGTCACAAAAAATTATACGAAATCGTAAATAGATTAAAAACAATGATTATACAGGGTGGGCCAAAAGTCAGTACCCATACGTTGGCCTTAATAGCTCCGCCGTGTTTTATATTTGAGAGCTGTTGCTTTGCAAATGGCATACTGTACTTACTGGTTCGAGGATTCCGTCGTCAAAATTTGAAAATTCGAATATTTTAGACCACGCCCATTCAATATTAAAACACATATATTGTTTTCTCTGAACATGCTGAACGCCTAATTTTTTCAGAGACGGTAGATTATCAAATGTTGCATATGATCTGAAAACACCAGGCAAAACGGATTAGAAATGACGAAGTTATCAAGCATTTTCTGTATCTCGTTAACAATATTGACTGGGTGATTATGTGACACCGTGACACGACACCTTAATTGGGCACCCTTAAGAATTCCCATAATGTTTAACGGGGTAGTTAACGGGGGCACCTTATCACGTGATTAGGTAAACCAATCACCTGATCACACGTAATGAATAAACTCGTTATGCTTAATATCTCGGTCATCTGAGAAGCTACAGTTCTAATTCTTTCAGGACAAACGTAATTCGAATGGCCAAACACAATTCAATAAAATTTAGCTTGATCCGACTATCCAAACGATCAAATAAATGTGAAAATGAACCTCCATTTGAAAAAAATGAACGCGAATATTTTTCGAGTTGACAAATTCCTCGAACCAGTGGTGGTACTAAGTCATACCAGAAATAAGTATTTAAATTGGGCACTCAGTAACTGAGCTATAAAGGCCAACGTATGGGTACTGACTTTTGGCCCACCCTGTAGAATGAAATAGTCTCTTATAATAACTCTTATAATAACTGATGTGACAAAGTAAACATGTCTTGCCCCTATTTGGAAGATCTATATTCTATACCTTTATTAGAATATTGTCCAGAATATCAGAGCTTAAGTTAAACAATTTTAGGTTAGATTTGTCAAAGTCATTAAAAATGTGACAAAATTAACTTTTCATGCCCCAACAATTTCAAGATAGTGTGTAAAAATTAGCATAGGCTGCTTTATTACCTATATAAATCAACCCAAACTACAAAATAATATATGTTAATGTGATGATGATTACCTAACTCTTATAATAACTGATGTGACAAAGTAAACATGTCTTGCCCCTATTTTGAAGATCTATAACTCTATTAGAATTCAACATTCTTTCAGAAACGATTGGAAGAATTAAATATTGTCCAGAACATACATACATGCTACATGAAGAGGTCTCCTCCTAGTCGTTGGAGTGGCCTGCATCACACACATCTCTTCTACGGCGTAACATGTTCCTCCATTCCACTCGCTTTAGAGCCAACTGTTTTACTGCATCTCTGCTGATGTTATCAACACCTGTAAATTCAGCCGCATCCTCGAGTACACAGGCCATCCAGCCTTTGCGGGGTCGTCCTCTCAGTCTCTTTCCATAGTTTGGTTTCCAATCCAGTAAGAAATTGGGGAACCGCGTCTCTGGCATTCTGACAACATGTCCGTACCACCTTAGTCTAGCCGCACCGATGAAAGTTTCGATAGACTTAATTCCAGCACGCCTGAGAACTTCTTCATTGGAGACATGAAAGAACCACTTTATCTTCAAGATTCTTCTCAGGGAGGTCAGATGGAAGACCTCAAACCGTTTCATCTGCTTCTTTGTTGTGTTCCACACTTCAGCTCCATATAACAGAATAGTAATAACAGCAGCCTTGTAGATACGGATCTTGGTGGGCGTTCTTATAGTTCGACTGTTCCATATCTTCCAAAGCTGATGGAACGCACCATTAGCACGCTGGATCCTGATGTCAAGATCTCGGTCAATGGTACCATCCCCACTGATGTTGGCACCAAGATAAACAAAGTTGCTGACCTGTTCAACAGGTTCTCCCTCCACTGTTAGCTTTATACTGTCTCTTTCGGTGTAAGGTCGCTGGGACGCACACTTGCTGATCGCCATGCATTGTGTCTTTTTAGCGTTGATCTTTAACCCAGCATAAGAGGTGTAATAAGCTATAAGATCAGTGGACTCTTGCAGCCCTTCTTCAGTATTGTCCATCACTGCCAGATCATCAGCGTAGTCACTATCCATGATAACTTTTTCATCTGCACCCTTTAATTCCTTTTGCAGTACAGCACCATGACTGGTTGCCTTGTGATTGTGAACCTCGGCCAAAAAGATTTCAAAGTTCAGACAAAAATTAAATACAGGGGGGCCCTGGATATCACCCTG